ATACCAGGTCACAAAACAGCCCTCAATAAATATCATGATCTCCTGGATCATGAGTTCGAAGCCCTGCCTCGGACTCTATGCTGACAGCTCAGAACCTGAAGCCTGCTTAGGATTCTATGTCTTCCTCTCTCTCTGCCTTCCTCTGCTTACACACTGTCTCTCTCATTCAAAAATAAACATTAAAAAAATTAAAAAATAATAGTATAAAAGAATTAAGATCATACCATGTATATTTCCAGATCACAATGCTATGAAAGTTGAAATCACAAGAAAAAAATTAGAAAGCCTCCAAATGCAAGAAGTTAAAGAACATCCTACTAAAGAATGAATGGGTCAAACAAGCAATTAAAGAAGAAATTTAAAAATATATGGAAGCAAATGAAAATGAAAACACAACAGTCCAAACCGTCTAAGATGCAGCAAAGGCAGTCCAGTCCTAAGCGGAAAATACATTGCCATCCATACCTATCTCAAGAAACAAGAAAAATCCCAAATATAAAACCTAACTGCACACCTACAGGAAACAGAAGTAGAACAGCAAAGAAACACCAAGGTCAGCAGAAGAAGAGAAATAATAAAGATTGGAGCAGAAATAAACAATATAGAATCCAAAATAAATAAATAAATAAATAAAAACAGAACGACTCTAAGACCTGTTTTTTTTTTTTAAAGTAAACAAAATTGATAAATCCCTAGCCAGACTTCTCAAAAAGAAAAGAGAGAGTACCCAAATAGATAAAATCATGAATGAAAGAGGTAAGATCACAACCACACCACACAATTATTAGAGAATACTATGAAAAATTATATGCCAACAAACTGGACAACCTGGAAGAAATAGACAACTTCCTAGATACTCACACACTACCAAAACTCAAATGGGAAGATAGAGAAAATTTGAAGAGATCCATAACCAATGAAGAAATTCAATCCGTTATCAAAAATCTCCCAAAAAATTAGAATCCTGGGCCAAATGCCTTCCCAGCGGAATTGCACCAGACATTTAAAGCAGGGTTAATACCTATTGTCTCAAGCTGTTCCAAAAGACAGAATCGGAAGGAATGCTTCCAGACTCATTCTATGAAGCCAACATTACCTTGATTCCCAAACATGACAAAGGCCAATATCCTGACAAACATGGATGCAAAAATTCTCAGCAAGATACTAACAATAGAATTCGACAGTATATTAAAAGAATTATTCACCGGGGCGCCTGGGTGGCTTAGTCGGTTAAGCGTTCGACTTTCGCTTAGGTCATGATCTCGCGGTTCGTGGGTTCGAGCCCCGGGTCGGGCTCTGTGCTGACTGCCTGCTCAGAGCCTGGAGCCTGTTTCAGTCTGTGGCTCCCTCTCTCTCTGACCCTCCCCTGCTCACGCTGTCTCTCTCTCTCTCTCTCTCTCCTAGAAATAAATAAAACATTCAAAAAATATATTAAAAAAAAAAAAGAATTATTCACCAAAATCAAGTGGGATTCACTCCTGGGCTGCAGGACTGGTTCAATATTCGCAAATCAATTAATAGAAAAGAAAGGATAAGGACCATATGATCCTGTCAATAGATGCAGAAAATGCATGTGACAAAATACAGCATCCTTTAATAAAAACCCTCAAGAAGTCAGGATAGAAGGAGCATAACCTTAACATCATAAAAGCCATGTATGGAAAGCCTACAGCTAATACCATTCACAATGGGGAAAAACTGAGAGCTTTCCCCCTGAGATCAGGAACAGGACAGGGATGTCTACTCTCACCACTGTTGTTTAACATGGTGTTGGAAGTCCTAGCCTCAGCAATCAGACAACAATAAACAAAACAAAACAAATCAAAACAAAATAAAGGGCAGCCAAATCAGCAAGGAGAAGTCAAACTTTCACTCTTCACAGATGACAATACTCTATACAGAAAACCCAAAAGACTCCACCAAAAAGCTGCTAGAACTGACACATGAATTCAGCCAAGTCACAGGAAACAAAATCAAGGTACAGAAATTGGTTGCATTTCTATACACCAATAATAAAGCAAGAGAAAGAGAATTCAAGGCATCTACCCCATTTACAATTGCCCCAAAACCCATAAAATACATAGGAATAAACCTAACCAAAGATATCAAAGATCTCTATGCTGAAAACTATAGAAAACTTATGAAAGAAATTGAAGAACACTCAAAGAAATAGAAAAACATCCCATGTTTATGGATTAGAAGAATAAATATTGTTAAAATATCAATACTACCCAAAGCAATCTACACATTCAATGCAACCGCAATCAAAATTGCACTGGCATTCTTCTCAAAGCTAGAACAAACAATCTTAAAATTTATATGGAGCCACAAAAGACACTGAATAGACTAAGTAATGTTGAAAAAGAAAATCAAAGTGGGAGGCATCACAATCCTGGACTTTAGCCTCTACTACAAAGGTGTAACCATCAAGACAGCATAGTACTGGCACAAAACAAGACTCATAACACCTTTGGAATAACATAGAGAACCCAAAATTGGACCCTCAAATGTTACGGCCAACTAATCTTTGACAAAGCAGGAAAAGAGTATCTGGTGGAAAAAATGCAAATGGTGCTGGGAGAACTGGACAGTAATATGCAGATAAATGAACATGGACCACTTTCTTACACCATACACAAAAATTAACTCAAAATGGATGAAAGACCTAATAAATGTGAGACAGGAATCCAACAAAACCCTAGAGGGGAAAACAGGCAACGACTTCTTTGACATCAACCACAGCAAATTCTTACTCAATGCGTCTCTGAAGGCACGGGAAACAAAAGCAAAGGAACTTTGGGACCTCATCAAGATCAAACGCTTCTGCACAGCAAAGGAAACAATCAGGAAAACTAAAAGGCAACTGATGGAATGGGACAAAATATCTGCAAATGATATATCGGGTAAAGGGTTAGTATCCAAAATCTACAAAGAACTTGCCAAACTCAACAGCTGAAAAACAGTGAAGAAATGGGCAGAAGGCATGAACAGACACTGTTCCAAAGAACATCTAGATGGCTAACAGACATATGAAATGATGCCCAACACTGCTCATCATCAGGGAAATATAAATCAAAACCTCACTGCGATACCACCTCACACCAGTAGAGTGGCTAAAACTAACAACTCAATTAACAACAGATGTTGGTGAGGATGTGGAGAAAGAGGAACCCTCTTGTACTGTTGGTGGGAATGCAAACTGGTGAAGCCACTCTGGAAAACAGTGTGGAGGTTCCTCAAAAGTTAAAAATAGAACTACCTTAGGACCCAGCAATAGCACTCCTAGGAATTTATCCAAATGACACAGGAGTGCTAATTCATAGGAGCACTTGTACCCCAATTTTATAGTAGCGCTTTCAACAACAGCCAAATCATGGAAAGAGCCCAAATGTCCATCAACTGATGAATGGATAAAGATGTGGTTTATACATACAATCGAATACTTATTTGGCAGGGAGAACGAATGAAATCCTGCCATTTGCAACAATGTGGATGGAACTGGAGGGTATTATGATAAGTGAAATAAGTCTATCAGAGAAAGATTTCACGTTTTCACTCATCTGGGGAAGTTTAGAAACTTAACTGAGGGTTGATGGGGGGGTGCGGTGTGGAGAGGGGAAAATGGGTGATGGGTATTGAGGAGTGTACTTGCTGAGATGAGCACTGGGTATTATAAATATGTAAACGATGAATCACGGGCATGTACTCCTGAAACCAAGAGAACAGTTTATATACTGACAGTTAGCTAACCTGAAATAAATTATATTAAAAAAATTTTTTTAAAAAGGTAAAAGCATCGAAGTAGGAAAGGAAAAGGAAAAGGAAAAAGAAAAGGAAAAGGAAAGGAAAAAGAAATGTACGAATAGGCAAATCTACAGATTGGGGGGAAATGAAAGGAGATTAGTAAAGGGTACAATATTCTTTCTGGGATGATGCAAATATTAAACTGATTGTACTGATGATTGCACAAGTCTGTGAATATACTAAAAACCCCCGAAGTATAAACTTTAAAATAATGTGATATCTCACGGTATGTGAATTATATCTCAATAAAGCTATTAGAAAACAGAATCTACTGTGATAACAACTTTGAGAATTTTATGTTTAAGGACAGTCAGTTTTGGGGCACTTCAGTGGCTCAGTCGGTTAAGCATCCGACTTCAGCTCAGGTCATGATCTCACAGTTCATGGGTTTGAGCCCCGCGTCGGGCTCTGTGCTGACAGCTAGCTCAGAACTTGGAGACTGTTTCAGATTCTGTATCTCTCTCTCTCTCTCTGACCCTCTCCTGTTCATGCTGTCTCTCTCTCTCTCTCAGAAATAAACAAAACACAAATTTTTTTAAAAAGGATAGTCAGTTTTATCCTCAGTAACTATATTGTATAATATTTATATCTTAAAAGACTTCTAACATTTTGCTTAGGAAAGATACCCTGGTATGTCAGTTTTTTTGTTGTTCTCAAATCTCAAGGCTCCCTAAGGCCTTTGAATAGGTACTACTACAGAACATTTTCTTTTTCCCAAAAGCACATGTCCCCTTCTGTCTACATAATAGGCAGATCTTCCTCAAATTATAGTAAAGGAAGCCTATCATTCAATAAAATGTATTCACTTTCTCTAAACTAACAACTCCATTTAAATTTTAGGCTCAGAGCCTCTCAATTACCTAAAATCCCAGGCTGAGTCCCAAAAAGTTCAGACTTAAAAAGACCGGAAATGGTGAATAGAAATAAAATGTTCTTAAAACTTACTAAAAACAAAAGTTCAAAAAAAAAAAAAAAAAAAAAAAAAAGAGCCTCTGGTAATATATAATTTCTCAAACTATATGGAAACCCGGGAAGGTCAAAAGTCAGGACCTTCTACAAAAAGCCCGCTCTTCACTTCAAATGTTGTGTTAAGTCTTTATCAATTTACCCTTCCTTTTTCCATCAAAACACACCAATTTCAGGAGGGTAACATTATGACCACTTCCTCTAATCCCTTATCATACTCAAGTCCTTACCTGGTTCAGGGAGCTCAGGCTGGGGAGTCAAACTGGGAATTCCTGGATCTTTTTCCATTTCCTCAATGCTGGCACTGGATTTATCACAAACATTCAACCGTGGCCCAACTGAATCTAAGCAGCTAGCATGATTTGGATCTGCCAGGGCATCTTCTAGTATGTTTGTCGAAGTAGGGGGTCTATGCTCTGGGAACTCATCCCCCTTCTTTACAGGGTCAGCTGGAAGCAAAACCCCAAAGGCACCCTCTGAGTTTTCTTTCTCCCTAACTCTGTTAGTGCGCTTACGAGGTTTAGTGCGCCTTTGGTTTAAACGCTGCCACCGCTTTTTAGGCACCGCTTGATTTACACCACTGGGTTCATCATTCTCACTGTTCATTTCGGTATCCAACTCTGGGCCTTTTCTGTTTTCAAAAGAAGGGCCTTTTTCAGGAATTTTGTCAGGGTCAGACTGGTTGACTTTGTCATCAAAATTAACACTGGAAAAATGAGTACTGTCTTCACTTGTTAAATGACCCATTAACTGAAGGGGTTCTTCTTTACCAGGGTCTTCTAGCCCACCTCTTGAGCAGCCATTCTCTGAACCCCCACTTGGTCTGTCTCCCTTCAGTGCAGTCTGAAGAGTCACAGCTGGAAGTTGGTTCAGTTTTCTTTTGCGTTCTGTCTTTAAGGCTTTACGGTTTAATGTGTTCTTTCCCATCTGGGCTGATAAACTATCACGCAATTTAGATGAGGGTTTTGATCGCCCACAGTTGCGCCTAGTAACACAGTTTGAACGACTTTTACCAGAAGCAGGGAGGTCTCTTCTGTCAGACACTAAGCTGGGTACGGATACAGACAACTCCCCAGACAGTGCAGAGTCACCTCCACTAGGGCTAGGACGGACTGCGTTCTGAGTGCCATCTCCATTTTTTTCTGAATTGTGAGTGGAGTTTCCCGAAACCAAAGCCTTAGAAGCACCTACAGGACTACTGGTAGAACAGTCCCCAAGACCAGGACTCCGATAGGAGACCAAGTTTTGAGCAGTCATTAAGCGTTGCTCCTTGGTCTTACTATCATGCATATCTTTCAACATCATTAACAATGTACTGAATTTGTAATCTGGTTCAATAGGTATATGATTCTGACCAGAGGCAGGAGAAAAAAGTAATGGTTTTGATGGCTTTGATGTTCCAGAATCACTGACATCTTCACTTAAGGATCTATAGGAGAGTTCCTTCAACTCTGATAGAACATGTTTCACCACTGCTGTTTCTATGTCATTTGAATCCCTGGTTTTCTCATGCATGTTGCTCAGTAGTTTTAGCCCATCCACTTTCCCACTTTTGGAAATGCTGGCTAAAGGAGAGCCTTTAGTATCAGAAGAGCAGCATTTCAAACTGCAGTCCTCATTTGTAACTGGAGATTCCACTACAACTGGATTTTCTTTATGCTTGCACTTTATACTTCGGATCTTGGGCTGTTTGCTTTTTGAATGTAACAGAGCTTGATTTGTAGCCCCACCTTTTATTAGTGAATTCTCACTGGAAATGCTTGATGGTGTGTTGAATTTTGGAGAGAAACCATCATTTCTAAAATCCAATTGGGGTTTGCGGACAAGAGTAGACACTTTAAGATCAGAGAGATTAACCTGAGATGTCTCAGTTCCAGGCTCTGCTGTCTTACTACAATCCATTAAGTGGTCTGTATGTGAATTAGTAATGAGGGACTTTTGCTTTGCTTTTACCTTAGTGTTTGTGGCAGGATACCTAGTATACTTTACCTTTTCATTTTTCTGCACAGATAATATGTTTTCTGTTCTATCAAAAGCATCTGTAATTTCAAGGACACTGTTATCAGATTCTGAACTATGATCTATGGGATCCAGATCACTGCTTCCATCATCAGAAGTGGTACAGATACTAATGGAATCACTGCGCTTTTCTTCATCACCTGCTCCAATATAACAGAGCTGCACTTTCGAACTACACACCAAACCTCTTTGGAGTTTTTTCTTTTCCCCAGAATGTTTAGAGATCAAGGCACCCTCAGACAAGCCCAGTAAAGAGTCACAATTTGAAGCCTCAAATTCTTTCTTTGCAGTGTTTTTTGCACAAGAAGAAAACAGGAAGCTTCCTGGGGCAGTGCTGGACCCTGTGAGGCTGTTTGCTATCCTGGAAAGTTCATTAGAGGCCTGCTTATCAGATACATCCCCAGAAATAAAGTTTAGGCCAAGGTTCTCTGGAATCTTTCCCCTTCGTTCTTCCTTATGTGCTTCAAATTGTATGTGGCCCTTTTTCATACTAGTCCTTTTTGGATTATCAGAACTCTTTCTGGCTCGAGACTTAGCACAAGGCTTTTCTTTCTCATCTGCAGAATGTTCTGAGTCAAAAGCCAGAGATTTCAAGCAGCCATTAAGTAACAGATCATGTTCTGATTCAGGATCATTAGTACAGTCCTCAAATGGCATATCCTCCTCACTGTCCAACTTGATTGAACTGGTGACACATCTTCGGTTCTTTGACCCTTTGGGAACATCATATTGTTCAGCGAGACCAACACTGGCTTCCCATTTACTCAAAATTTTCTGAGGAACCTTAAATTTAAAGGAGAAAGAGATTATAACTTATCAAAAAATGCGAAAGGGAAAAAGGAGATTATCAGTGAAGACCTCTCAAATAAGCTTTTTTGAGCCTTGTAACATCTTCAAGGCACCTTAAAACAAATTTGCTTTTAATGTTCCCTTATGTATTTTGAGAAAGAACGCAAGCAGGGGAGGGAGGGACAAAGAGAAGGAAAGAGAAAATCACAAGCAGTGTCTGCATTGCCAGTGCAGAGCCCGATGTAGGGCTTAAACTCACGAACAGTAAGACCATAATCTGACCCCAAATCAAGAGTTGGATGCCTAACTAACAGAGCCACCCAGGTGCTCTTCAAGACACTTTTATGGTACTAATCAGGTGGTTAGCATCCATTGCTCACCCAGAGCCTAACGAATGGGGGATTCTTCAAAACTACTTCTAACATTAAGATCTATCATTAGAGGAAAAATTAAGCCCATACACCCTCCACTCTTCCATAAAATAAAGAATAAAAGAGTGGACCATAACTAGGATTGCATTACTCATCAACATTACATTACTAAATCAAGGAATAATGAGACTCATCCTACCTACCCCTCCACACTTTAAAATAAGGATTTATGTTCTTCCTGACTTATGAAGGTCAAGCACTTGCTCAGTTATATAAAAGAGAAAGCAAAAGGCTCAAGATGGAATATGGAAAAATGAAGAAAGACGAAATGAGGTCACAGATCCACCCTAGGTGATCCTAAATTTGAACTTCTGGTTATCACTAAGCCCTTTTATTTCTGGTGATGTATCTGATTATTCTATACATGTTACATAAAATCTGGATTATAACAGATAAATAAAGTTTAGGCCAAGGTTAGACTGCCTAAGCAGTCTCTTAGGCTTTAATCATTTATCCCAAAGACAACAGAAAACCTTGGGTATTATATATGTTCCTTTCTTGATTCCACACAGTATGGAGACACTGATGCTCTGTGAAATATACCTAATTTTTCAAACTCTTACTTACCTCCTTGACTTCATACAGGAGATATTAGGCAAGGTTCCAACTATCAGCTAACTATAATACTTGTAAAAGGGGTGTTTCACTGAGCATGTAAAAATTCAAGACATTGGATAGGTAGCCTCCTCTTATAAAGCAATGAGTTGACCATCTTAGTTTATTTCACACTCAAGTACACATTCATTAATTCTCATGACTGTGATAAGAATCAATCAACTTTCCAGAATCGGAAAGTTTAGTGAACTATGTCACCTTCTAGGACTGAATATAAAAGAATATGAGAAGAAATAAACCAAAACGTACTCAGCCAACTTTAACACAAATCATCAAGCAAATGGAACAAAAACACAATGTTTTAAAATAAAATATTATGAGGAATGGGGGGTAAGATGGACCCTAGGTGGCTCAATCAGTTAAGCATCCAACTTTGGCTAAGGTCATGATCTCACGGCTTGTGGGTTTGAGCCCCACAATGGGTTCTCTACTGTCAACACAGTGCCCGCTTCAGATCCTCTGTCTCCCTCTCTCTAAGTCCCTCCCCAGCTTGCCCTCTCCATTTCTCAAAAATAAACAAACATTAAAAATTAAAAAACTACAACAACTGCGGGTTGCGCGTATGAAACCACAACCATAAGCATTAACAACCACACACAAAAACAAAAAATGGCATATGTAACACCATGGATAGAGCTAGAGTGTTACACTAACTGAAATAAGTCAGTCAGAGAAAGACAAATCCCCTAAGATTTCACTCATGTGGAATTTAAGAAATAAAAGAACAAAGGAGTAAAAAGAGAATGAGAGAAAAAGAAACAGACTCTTTAAACTATAGAGAGCAAACTTATGGTTACCAAAAGGGAGGTGAGTTGGGAGATAGGTGAAATAGGGGATAGGGATAAAGGAATGTATTTGTCTGTGAGGAATACCAGGTGACTAAACAAAAACATGTATACAAACAAAAACCCAAGACAAACCCACGAATGGTCATGTCATTTTATACTATTACATCTAAGTGACATAGTAAAAGTTACCTGAAATCTTTTCTCAAAAAATTGAGTATAAATATTTGGAAGACTAGCCCTATTTCCTGCCTACAAAAATTACTGCTCTCAGCCATTTTCTCACAAATATCCCAATGCCAAAGGAAGAACTAACATTTCAAAAAGATAATACTTCTTCCTTGCCTCCTCCCTGCCCACCACAAAGAAGACAATTTGAGAGGGTTTTTTTTTTGTTTTTTTTTTACCTTATGCCTATATCCTTTTTCTTTCTGCTTCCCTCTTCTCCTAAGCACAGGTAGCTCTTCAAATTGATGTCTGCCTTCGAACATGACGATTGCTTTTCCAGCCACCCAGGCTTTCTCTGAAGGGTCCCCAAAAGCCTCCACGTAGTACTGTCGATAGGGTCTCCGGTTTGAAACTAAATAAAGATATACCAGAGTCATTACTTTAAAAAGATTCATCATGAAGAGAAATGCCACAAAACTATTGCCAAAGAAATCTCAATTTTTAAAAAAAGAAGAAAAACTGTTTAAAAACCTATAGAACAAGCAACTCTACAGTAGGTCAGAGAGAAGGAAAGTTTTAAATATTTCAATTCAGGTGGCAAGAAAATGCCCAAGAGTTTCCGAAAGAACTTCAATAGTTTGGTCTGGTGATATCCTGTATATTCTAAACCTGTTAGAGATTGATTGGTTATTAATCACAGAACAAATTAACATAGCAACCAAATAAGTCTTATACCCTTGGTATCAGAAAATACAAAGAGCATTTAATAAGACACAGCACCAGAAATAAAAAAAAAAATCAACAAGAACTAACCACCAAACAAACTTTAAAACACTTTGCTAAAATATAATGGAGGGAAAAAAATGTTTCAACACTACACTATGTATGATATGCTAAGATTTATGGAATGGCTACTCTTGACCAGGCACTCACTTATACTAGGTGCTTTGCGTGGAGTCTTAGTCTTCACAACAACAAACTCTAAGAAATAAGTAGTACAATCTCCATTTTATAGACATGGTAAGTAAGTAACTTCAGAGAACGCAAACTCAGAGTGATACATTGGCTTTGCAGAGAAAGCAGAACTTATTTCAAGATACTGAAATTAAAAAAAATAAACAAAACACCCAAGAGCAATAAAAACAAAAATATATCATTTATTCTAGTTTCTAGATTATTCTAGTTTCTTAGTAGTCCAAAGTTCTAAGCATACAATTAACAACAACAACAAAATACAGATCTTTTTTAAAATTTATTTCTGAGAGACAGCATGAACAGGGGAGGGTCAGAAAGAGAGGGAGACATGGAATCCAAACAGGCTCCAGGCTCTGAGCTAGCTGTCAGCACAGGGCCTGACGTGGGGCTTGAACCCATGAACTATGAGATCATTACCTGAGCTGAAGTTGGACACTTAACGGACTGAGCCACCCAGACACCCCAACAAAATACAAATCTTGTTCAGAAAAGATTATAACCAAATTTACCTAGTATATGTATCTTCCATCCAGATTTAGCATTTTGGCATTTTTCATGCCAGTAAAAAAAAAACTTACAAAATAAATACACCAGGACTATACAAGGTGTAGTAATTTGTCTCTTTTTAGAAAAGGATATCATCTAATATAAAAATTCATTTATACAGGAACTTATATCTAATTCCCTTAACAACCATTTGTTAAAACACAAAAAATGAATACAAACATCTTTTGGGGAAAAAAATTAGGAAAAGCCTACTTCCTTCAGAATGAGAAGGGGAAGGGAGGAGAGGGGAGGGGAGGAAGGAAGGAATGAGAAGGAAGGAGCAAGAAGAAAGAAAAAAGAGAAGAAAAGGAAAAACGAAGGAAGAAAAGAAAGGGGAGTGAAATTTATAAACTGAACCATAAAACTCAGGTCTCCCCGGTATCTGGAAGAGCAGCCAAAATGTCAAGTAAATTTCAATGGCAACTTTTTTATAAACATTAATTTCAAAGTTACATAACCAAAAAATGAAGAGTACGTATGAGCTCTCATAAACTTTAGTAATGGCTGTTGCTCTATAAAAATAGGTTAATAATAAAATTACAACACGGTCAAATTTTGTTTTTTAGTCCATTTCAAAAACAATTTTGTGAAAAAGGTTGAACTCCTTATAGTCTCTACCTACTAAATTAAATCCTTCAATAGTAGCCACCTATAAATAAGGATTAAAATTGGTGAGATATAGGGGTGCCTGGGTGGCTCAGTTGATTAAGCTCCTGACCTCAGCTCAGCTCCACATTCAGGAGTTCATGGGTTCGAGCTCCACACTGGGCTTTGTGCTGACAGCTCAGAGCCTGGAGCCTGCTTCAGATTGTTTCCCTCTCTCTGGCTCTCCCCCACTAGTGCGTGCACGTTCTCTCTCTCTCTCTCTCTCTCTCTCTCTCAAACAAAAATAACATTTTTTTTTTAATGTTTTATTTGTTTCTAGGAGAGAGAGAGAGAGACAGCATGAGCAGGGGAGGGTCAAAGAGAGAGGAAGTCACAGACTGAAACAGGCTTCAGGCTCTGAGCTGGCAGTCAGCACAGAGCCCGACGCGGGGCTTAAACCCACGAACCGCGAGACCATGACCTAAGCGAAAGTCGGACACTTAACCGACTGAGCCACCCAGGTGCCCCAAAAATAACATTTTTTAAAAATTGGTAAGATATAGGGCGCCTGGGTAGCTCAGTCGGTTAAGCATCTGACTTTGGCTCAGGTCACAATCTCACAGTTCATGCGTTCGAGCCCCACATCAGGCTCTGTGCTGACAGCTGAAAGCTTGGAGCCTGCTTTGGGTTCTTTGTGTCTCTCTCTCATTCTCTCTCTGCTCCAACCCCATTTACTCTGTCTCTCTTTCTCTCAAAAATGACTAAACTTAAAAAAAAAAAAAAAGTAGAGGTCACTGGGCACCTGGGTGGCTCAGTTGGTTAAGCATCAACTCTTGGTTTTAGCTCAGGTCATGATCTCATGGGATCGAGCCCCACATTGAGCTCTATGTTGATATCAGTGAGCCGCTTAGGAATCTCTCCCTTCCTCCTTCCCTCCCCTCATCCCTCTCTCTCTGCCCCTCTCCCACTCCCTCCCTTAAAATAAATAAATAAACACTAAAAAAAGAGAAAATCATAAGAGAAAATAAATTTACAGTGCTGTAGTATATTTGCTGAAAAAATCTGTGTGTAAAAGATTACATAGGACCCAAATAATTCAAATCTGTGTTATTCACAGGTCAATAGCCTAAGGTTCTAGGTGAGATTTCCAAAAGATAATGAAAATGACAAATAACCAATGTATCAGATCATGTGGAAAAAATTAAAACTAGGAGTTTTACTATCAATTCACAATAAATATATAAAAGACTAAGAACTCTGTAACACACACACACACACACACACACAACTGCAGAGAAATCAAAAGGTTGTGAGGGCAAAGTAAGCCCAGGATACCACATGGCTAAGCTATATATACTGCTAACATGATAACATACACACTAAAATTCCTAACCAAAATTATAACATAACAGGTAAAATAGCAGGATGCCAGAGGTGGATGGGAGGTGAGGTAAGGCAAGGATGAAAATGACTAATCCAAAACATCTATAGTGAGAAGTAAAAAGTAATTCCGAAGGATGGAACACTGAAATACAGCAATTAACTTTCGAAAGATCCAGCTGACAGAGTTAAAGCTTAAATAGAAGGTAGAGCAAACAGCAGACTGTTTTCCAAACAAGGCTTATAGAATTAACCACTTGACTTTTTAAATTATATGCACCATATATAACATAAGTAAACAATGACTTTTAAAAGTGATTTTAGGGGTGCCTGGGTGGCTTAGTCAGTTAAGCGTCCGACTTTCACTTAGGTCATGATCTCACAGTTTGTGGGTTCGAGCCCCACATCGGGCTCTGTGCTGACTGGCAGCTCAGAGCCTGGAGCCTGTTTCAGTCTGTGACTCCCTCTCTCTCTGACCCTCCCCTGCTCACGCTGTCTCTCTCTCTCCTAGAAATAAATAAAACATTAAAAAAAAATTTTTTTAAGTGATTTAAAAAATTTGGATTTTCTGGGGCACCATGGTGGCTCAGTCATTTAAGTAACCAACTCTGAATTTCAGTTCACGTCATAATCTCATGGGTTCATGAGTTGAGGCCTGTGTCAGGCTCTAAGCTGATAGTGCAGAGCCTGTATAGGAGGATTTTATTTCTCCATCTCTCTGCCCCTCCCCTGCTCATTCTCTCTCTCTCAAAATAACCTTTTAAAAACAAATGTAGTTTTCTAATACCATTTGAAATATTTGGCTTTTTGTCCATTTCCAGTCTAATTCAACTTCAGCCACACATACCACCAAAAACACCACTGATCTCCACTGCCTTATACCTAATGGACATTTTATTTGCTCTCCAGGCAAAGTTCAACCAAGTCAATCACATCTTACTTCTTAAAACATACTAGTCACCAGTACCACATCCCAAATAATCCTGGTTTTCCTTTTCCATCTCTGATTTTTCCCCCATCTCTTTCCCAAGTTTAGTATCCTGCAGAGGGGCCTCAAATACTGGATTCCTCAAAGTCATCTTATTTTTCACGGTACATTTTGTCACAACGCATCTCATCCATGCCTTGCTCATGGCTTCAGTTAATAACAACAAACAGATATCACCATATAGTTACAGATGTTTCAGTGTTCTCACTAAATGGCACCATTACTGATGTACTGGTGAAGCTAAAATCTTGGGAGCCATCCTAAGATACAGAAACCTTAGAACTCCATCCTGCCTTACTCCTCATTACCCATCCATTACCAAATCAGATAGATTTTATCTCCTAAGTTGTTCTTTATACTCTATTCACCATATTCAACTCACCATAATCACTTCAATGACCCTTTTAGCAATTTTCTCTTATAAAAGTTTACAAAACATATCATCCTCTGCTCAAAGTCCTTTATCATGCTGTTCTAAGAATAAAGTACCAAATGTTAATTCAAGTCTAAAAAATGGCACACAATTTGACTCATTTCAACTTTCCTGGCCTCATACTGTGCCACCTTCTATCACTCTATGGGTGGAAGACATTTCAGAGCCAGAGTATACACTGTTTTCTAGAACCATTATCTCCTTCATTCCCCAGTTAATTCCTACTCGTCCTCAAGTCTCAGATTAAAGATAACTTTACTAACATAACTGCCCCTGAATTTCCTGAACCAGAAGTCCAAGTACCCCTGCGATGTCACTAACTATACACATGTTTAGACAAGCTTCTCAGTTAAGAATCTATTTGTCTGATTATTTGTTGGTATCTTGTCTCTTTAACTGGACTCTAATTATATAAAAGGGCAAGCAGAACTGATGTTTTGCCCATTAATGGATCACAATACCTAGCATACTACCTGTATAATATAGTTAGAAATTGTTGAATAAATTGCATGGACCCAATTACGGTGCATAGAATAGTAGGACAAGGTAGAAACAAGTAGGAAGAGCACAGAGGGAGGAATAAAATAATTTTTTACTAGTAGTACTCAACTGTCCAAACAAGCCACAAAGAATAAGATATTTAAAAAACAGTGTGCTGGTCTGCCTGGGTGGCTCAGTTGGTTAAGGACAGAAGTCTTGATTTTGGTTAGGGTCCTAATCTCACAGTTCTGGAGTCTGAGCCCCATGCTGGCCTCTGCGCTAACAGTGTAGAGCCTGCCTGGGATTTTCTCTTTCTCTCTGCCCCTCCTCTGCTCGCTCTCTCTCTCTCTAAATAAATAAACTTAAAATAAATTTAGATGAATTAAAATGAAATAAAAACAAAAAACAGTAGGCTATAAAATCTTTAGGTATACCTCAATATTCAAAATATAAAATCAAATCCTGCAATCCCACTTTTGATAAATCATCCCACAAAGACATGCATATGTGAAAGTTATTCTTTACACTACTGTGTGCGCATAGAGACACATTTATGTTATGTACATATGTATGTAAATAAGCATGTATAGGCTTTACAACACAAGATCAGAAGCAACCTAAACATCCATTAACAGGAAAATGGCATATTCAAAAAGTGGGAAACTATGCAGCTGTTAAAAAGAGAGAGGGGGTGGAGCGCCTGGGTGGCTTAGTTGGTTAAGTGTCCGACTTTCACTTAGGTCATGTCATGATCTCGCGGTTCGTGGGTTCAAGCCCCGCGTCGGGCTCTGTGCTGACTGCCAGCTCAGAGCCTGGAGCCTGTCTCAGAGTCTGTGACTCCCTCTCTCTCTGACCCTCCCCTGCTCACGGTGTCTCTCTCTCTCTCTATCCCCCCTAGAAATAAATAAAAAACATTAAAAAATTAAAAAAAAAAAAAAGAGGGGGGGGCGGTGCCTGGGTGGCTCAGTTGGTTAAGTGTCCAGCTTTGGCTCAGGTCACGATCTCACGGTCTGTGAGTTCAAGTCCTGCATCAGGCTCTGTGCCGACAGCTGAGAGTCTGGAGCCTGCTTTTAGATTCTGTATCTCCCTCTCTCTGCCCCTTCCGGTCCTGCACCCTGTCTCTTTCTCTCTCTCTCAAAAATACATAAACATTTTTAAAAAATAAAAAAAGAAGAAAAGACCGTTTTCAATGCACTAACATGGAAAACCTCTAACAAAAGAAGCTGTAAAGCATGCAAAAAAATATGCTACAGTTGTGTTGAAGTAAAGATGAGAATATATACTTGAAATTATAGAAAGAAATATTGAAAATGACTGGTTATTCTTTTTAAAAGGAAGGGCAGGTCAGAGACAAGGAGGAAGGCAGTTGAATTTTTGAATATTGTGAATATATGACCTATGCAAAACCTAAAATACACATATATTAAAATTAAATCAAAGGACATTTTAACAGAAAAAAGGCAGTACAAGATCAAATTTTGGCTCCCACCTTACATTATTTTAAAGATACTGATATTCATGAGTCACCTGGGTGGCTCAGTCCGTTAAGCACCTGACTTCATCTCATGGCTCACGATTTCGAGGCCTGGGATTGGGCTCTGTGCTGACAGCTCAGAGCCTGGAGCCTGCTGCAGACTGTGCCCCCCCACCCCACTGCCTTCCCCCACTCATGCTCTGTCTCCCTCTCCCTCTCAAGAATAAACATTTTTTTAAAAGATACCTGATATTCAAGTAGAACCAAATAAGTAAGTACAGTAATTAAAAGCAATACTCTAAATCAAGATTTTAAAATTCAAAATAATTCAAAGCATTCTTTATAATTGTTTCAGCTTGAAAACTTAACAGCAAAGATGAGGCACCTGGGTGGCTCAGTCGGTTAAGCATCCGACTTCGGCTCAGGTCATGATCTCACAGTCTATGAGTTCAAGCCCCACATCTGTGCTGTCAGCACAGAGCCTGTAGCCTGCTTCAGATTCTGTGTCTCCCTCTCTCTTTCTCTCTCAAAAAATGAATAAAAGTTAAAAAAAAATTCTACAAAGAAAAAATAAATGAAAAAAGAAAACAGCAAAGATACAAACCTAAAGACTGAGGTAGATTCTCAAAGTGATTCTAGACAATGTATAACTTTAAGTAATAAACCTAACATTTTCCTGGCATCTATAAATAGAATGAGAGAATTTGAAATCATAAAGTAAAATAAAACTTTAAAAAGATTCAAAAAGGTAAGACATATTAATAACAATTCAACCAAAAAATGCTCAAAGGTAAAAACAGATTATTACTAAAGGCAACTATAAATTTTTTATTATATACTGTATTTTATAACATATAATCAACTGCTAATATTACCTTTCATTTTTGAATGTGTGTTAATCAACGGATCAGAACAAATCCTGCAGGGCCACCATGGGCGTCTCTTGAATTTTGCCCAGATGAGATCTCCAACTTCATACTTCAGTGGCGTAGACTTTTTCTTGGGTTGACACTTTAGACAGAAAAACCATGGGACATCAATGAGAATCACAATCTTTTGAAAGAGTGTACTATTTTGCTATAAGCCTTCTGAGAAAGCAATACCACAGAATTCTAAATGAAAATGGCCAGCTTAACAATTACAAAGTACAACTAAACTGTCTTAATTGCTCAACACAGCCCTTTAATTACAGTAGCAGCTCTCAATTTATATTTGCTTTATATAAGTAATCTACCTACATTCATAGAGAAAAATAGTAATTATTTTGATTTATAAAAACCTAAAAACTGAAAAAAGACACAGAATCATTCGTAGAAAAAGATGTCTTTGCCCTAGTCCTTGCATCACAAAACAACATGGCTGGGTGAAGGTGGGAAGATTATAAAAAGAGTTTATAAATAATGTCAAGAGACTATGTTGTTCTAAATACAACATGTCAATTATATCTCAATAAAATGGGTGGGAGAGGGGACGGAGGCAGGGAAACTATGATCACTTCTGCAGGTGATATTTGACATTCTTCTCAAACATAGGCATTCCTATTAATTACATAACAATAATGGCTCCAATGAAATAATCCTGAATACTACAGGCTAAGCTGTAGCAGTGTCAGTGCAACTGACCTGGACTCTAGACCTGAAGAACAATATACTGCAAAGCCAAGGAACACCATTCATGTAGAATAAAAAGAATATGAATCAAGCTCCTTGGACCTGTCTAATATAGAGACTCTGGCTACATCTTTTCTCCAAAACTAATATGCTTAATTTATCTGCAATCTAACATCCTCCATCTAAGTTCTAAACTCATGCCTGGGCTTTTAACACACCGTAAGCAGAGCTTCTGCCTCAAGATGGAGACAGCTTTGTGATTAGTAGGACTGAGCTTCCCACCTGGCACACACCACACATAGGAGTTCCAAGTGTATGGAGATTTTCCCAGGTAGCCAAAAGAAGCACCTAAGGTACTTGGACAAAGATTAACCTCTTCCATTTACTTCAAGGAAGCATACAAATACTAAGAGTTTCTGTAAGTGCCATGTTTTGAAAACGGTTTAGAGAGCTCCTCCTCCAAACTCAATCTTCCCTCCTTAATGCCGAAAATGAATCAAGCATTCAATAAAGAATATGCTAAATGAACGGACTGAAATCATTCAAATAAATCATTATTCAAATGAACAATATCCCACCTCAAGGATATCAAAGAAATGGGCTCAATCCAATGATTTATAAGTTATCAATTCAACTTTAAGACTCTGTTTTCAGGGGCGCCTGGATGGCTCAGTCGATTAAGCATCCAACTCTTGATTTTGGCTCAGGTTATGATCTCATGGTTCTTGAGTTCAATTCCCCCATTGGGCTCTGCTGGCAGCAGCCTCTTTCTCCCTGTCTCTCTCTCCCTTCCCTGCTCACACTATCCGTCTCTATGAAAATAAACTTAATAATAAATTGACAGAAGTTAAATCTCATAGAATGCTCTTACTGAAAATATAATGATTATTTCTACAAATATATACACACTGGGAAATAAGACAGAAACTACATGCTATGCTTTGAAAGAACAAAAAAAGGCCATTTTTGCCTGTTATTAGTTTGTAAATTACCAGGAAAAAAAAAAAAACCAAGGCATGAAACTTGGCTTTGAAACTGAAACTTTAGAACCAAGATACATAGACAGGATGGGAAAACAAATCTTTTATTTGCCTGTATCGAAAACAACAATTTGAGTAGGTTCCCATACAATTTATGATCATTTATTTGGCAATCATTGTTAAATATGGTATTGGCTTACTTATTCAAGTCCTAAATCACTTTAAAAATAGTAACTAACATTTCCTTGTTGTTTGCTATGTGCTAGACAGATTTTTTTAATCCTAAAGTAAATTCTTTATTACTATTCTTATTTTACTATATGACTAGACTCATATAGTATTTAGTAAGTGGCAGAGACAGAATTCAAATCTGGGCAGTCCAATGCCACAGCCCAAACTCTCCACCACTGCCTTACGATCCAGTAACAATAAAACCCCATGATTATATGCTTTACGATAAATTAAACCATAATCAATCTATGACAGAATATTGGCTCAGTCCTCCTATTACTTCAACAAAGTGATTATATTATCAGTAAGTTTAGCCATAAAACACATGCCTTCAAATGTCAGCTGTATTTCAATAAGCAATTTTTAAGCATATTTTTTTTTCTAATGTTTGTCTATTTTTTGAGGGAGAGAGAAAGCATACATGAATGTGGGAGGGGCAGAGAACGAGGGAGAGAAAGGATCCCAAGAAGGCTCTGTGTTGTTAGTACACAGCCCAATGCAGGGCCAATCCCAGGAACCCTGAGATCATGACCTGAGCCAAAATCAAGAGTTGGACACTCAACTGACTGAGCCACCCAGGCACCCCAAAAACATACTTTCAATAGCAAGGAAGGAACATGAGTGGTATTAGGTAAAGCCAGAAGCCGAAACACATAACCAGACAAAGCAGTAATGAGTTCTGTCTTCAGCTCTTTACAAATTATGTCATTTTAAACAAGTCACTTAATTCAGCCTGTTTCTTAGCCACAGAATCAAGAAACACCTGCTCTACCTGGAACTATCAAAATGAAAACAATTCCATTCCTAATACTGTAACCCAAAGGAAATAATCCAAATAAGTAAATGAATTGTAGAAAAATATTTTAAGCAGCTATTTATGACAACAAAAAATTAACATTCAACAAGAGACGTGTTAAACAAAATATGCTGACAACTCAATGAAATATGCAAAGTGCAGATGAAGTTATGAAATGATGAAAATGTAACACACACCCACACATACAGTAGAATCACCATTCAGAAACTACACTGAAACTGTAATCATTTTAAAAAATAAAGTCAATGAGAAATACAAATAAAAAATTGTTTCATTGGGGCACCTGGGTGGCTTAGTTGATTAAACATCCAACTCTTGCTACTGTGTTCAGTTCAGGTCATGATCTCACATTCGTGAGAGAGTCCTGAGTTGAGCTCATTCTGAATGTGGAGCCTGCTTAAGTTTCTCTCTCTCCCTCCCCATCTGCCCTTTCCCCACTTGTGCCTGGGTGCTGCAGGTGCTCTCTCAAAAAGAAGAAAGCTTCATTAAATTATTGGCATCATGGATAAAGACTGTCACAAACCTGAAGCATTCATTTTCCCAATTTTTTTAAAGATTTTATTTTTAAGTAATCTCTACATCCAACATGGGGCTCAAACTCACAATGCCAAAATCAAGACTCACATGCTCTAATGACTGAGCCCGTCTCTCTCTATGCTATCTTGACTGAAGACCAAATAAAACAATGTGTGCAAACCCACTGGAAAATGCCTATACAAATACATATTGTTAATACTATTATTCACGGGCAGTAATCACCAAATCCAACTAACTTTAACACATAAAAAATTAGACACAGGCAAGGATTCCAGAAGGAAGAGAAGCCTGCAATCATGAAACAGAGAAAATAATAGCAAGGAAAAATATGATCCTTTTCTTCAGAAAAGCTTAAATATTTCACCTTGGAAAGTAAGACTCCCAAATAACCAGTGTTAAACCCATAATTCATCTGCATACAAAGTTACTTAACAACCACAATAGAAAGCTAACCAAGAGACAACAGGATAATTCCTGATCCCAAAACACTTGGAGAATATCAAGGAAGACTAGAGTGAAAAATATCATCTGAACTTAGACGGGCAGGATAGGCACATTCCAGAATGGCTTTTCCTAATATCTCTATATGCACAGTTGGAAGAAATACAATGGTTCTAAGTCTTTTTATATACAGTATTGAGGTGAACAGCGCTTACCCAAAAGTATGCTCCACAATACCCCCACAAGATCTCATTTGGAAATACATCTTTGCACATAATAAAGATAAGGTCAATTAGGATGACTCTTAATCCAAAATAACTGTGTTCTTATAAAAAGGAAAAATTTGGAAACAGAGACACACACAGGGAAGATGATGGAAGACACAAGGAAAAATCCTTCCACCAACCAAGGAACTCTTGAAGCAACTAGACATTAAGGAGAGACCTGGAACATATTCTCACAACCCTCAGGAAATAACAACCCCTGATGACAATTTAACACTGAATTTCTAGTCTCCAGAATAGTGAGTCAATTAAATTTCTGTTATTTAAGCCACCCTGTCTGTGGCACTTTATTATGTCAGCCCCAGAAAGCAATACACATAATCTTATTTAATCCTCACATTATGAAATGACATGGTCTCCATTTTACATATAAAGAAACTGAGAATCAAAAAGGTTAAATCACAACTGTAAAGACCTAAAATTTAAACCTGATTAATTCCAAAGACCATGTTTTTTTAATACAACATATTTTTCCTCCAATTTTAACCGAATAAATATGACTAGAACTTGTTTTTCTCAAACTGTTTAAATCAAATCTAAAAACCAATTCCATTAAAAATCCCCAATTCCATTCTTTCATGGACAGCAACATGTAATTTCAACAGTAAACTTTGCTGAAAAATCTTGTCACTGCTATTTTTAAAGGACTGATGCATCTCCTTCAATCACAATCAAAAACTGGCTCTTGAGCCAAAAACTATGATTGAAAGACACTTTAGGTGAGATCTTTAAGCACTTTCACTAATAAAATTTCCATGAAGACGTCCACACCATATTACAATATGGTGATTACAAATGTAATATGGTCCCAAACCATATTACATTTCGAAGATAAAATGTGCTCCGGTGGTTCAGGTATGTTCCTGGATATATGGGATAGGACTTAAAATCATGTCCCATTTTAATGTTTATTGAATGGCACCAGAGCATACATAATCCTTGGATACCAATATCCTTACATGCATATCAAAAACTTAGAAATGAGTGAACTATTTAAAATCAGTTACTTGGGGCACCTGGGTGGCTCAGTCGGTTGGGCGTCCGACTTCGGCTCAGGTCATGATCTTGCGGTTCATGGGTTCAGGCCCCGCGTTGGGCTCTGTGCTGTAAG